TTCCTGTAAAATAGTCTAATAGGGGGTATAGGTGTTGTGTTAGTTGTCTCTTCAGAGGTTGCATGGCTTTTTACTTTCCTTCTTATGATGTCTTCGCCGAAAAAGTTAGGTTAGGTAAGGTTAGGTAGGTTAGGTAGTCAAAAAACAATTAATTCATGAAAACTTGGCTTATTAGGTAAATCGGGCCTTGCATAGTAGGCTGAGAAGTGAGTTCTGGCTACTAGGTACGACATATATATATATATATATATATATATATATATATATATATATATATATATATATATATATATATATATATATATATATATATATATGTCGTACCTAATAGCCAGAACGCACTTCTCAGCCTACTATTCAAGGCCCGATTTGCCTAATAAGCCAAGTTTTCATGAATTAATGTTTTTTCGTCTACCTAACCTACCTAACCTAACCTAACCTAGCTTTTTTTGGCTACCTAACCTAACCTTACCTATAAATTTAGGTTAGGTTAGGTTAGGTAGGGTTGGTTAGGTTCGGTCATATATCTACGTTAATTTTAACTCCAATAAAAAAAAATTGACCTCATACATAGAGAAAAGGGTTGCTTTATCATTTCATAAGAAAAAAATTATAGTAAATATATTAATTCAGTAAAACTTGGCTTATTAGGCAAATCAGGCCTTGAATAGTAGGCTGAGAAGTGAGTTCTGGCTACTAGGTACGACATATATATATATATATATATATATATATATATATATATATATATATATATATATATATATATATATATATATATATATATAATATATCGTACCTAGTAGCCAGAACGCACTTCTCAGCCTACTATTCAAGGCCCAATTTGCCTAATAAGCCAAGTTTTCCTGAATTAATATATTTTCTCTAATTTTTTTCTTATCAAATGATAAAGCTACCCATTTCATTACGTATGAGGTCAATTTTTTTTATTTGAGTTAAAATTAACGTAGATATATGACCGAACCTAACCAACCCTACCTAACCTAACCTAACCTATCTTTATAGGTTAGGTTATATATATATATATATATATATATATTTATATATATATATATATATATATATATATGAAATCTCATATATATATATATATATATATATATATATATATATATATATATATATATATATATATATATATATATATATATATATATATATATATAATTTTTTTTTTCTTGGTGCTCCTCCACTAGGTCCCCGTGAGTGTACACGTCACAGGTGTTCAACACTTAGTAGTCCGTTTGGTAGTTTGGGGCGCCGAATAGCAGTACCTTGCCTGGACTTCCCTTAGCAGAGCGTCTAAGGGCCCCTGAAAACCCCCACTGGGGCTCACTGGTCCAATGAATGCATCCCTTGGGTCTCATCTCACTTCGTGCGAGTTTGAAAGTTGCTCTGTTCCCTTATCTCAGGGTGACAATCACCAATTACCAGGGTGACAATCACTATTTCTGCCTCTGTCATGCTGCCTGTTGAGTCAGTGACACCTTTGACCCGGAGTCCAGTGAGTGGTGTTGCTTGCGTGTACTCCAATTCACCCAATCCACTGATCTTGATGTTCAGGTGCAGGTGGCTTCGGCGTTGCATGCACGTTTTAGCTTGCTGCAGTGTGCTAGTGTGGTTGCTCACCCTGAGACTCAGTCTCAGGGTGAGACTCAGATGCCCTGAGACTGCCCCGTTTTGGTTATAGACCCCCGACTTGGGAGTGTTAGTCGCCTCGACTTTGGTTTTGTCCGTGCCCCCTTGTCCTTGCCCTGTTGTTGTTTATCCTATTCCCCCCCCCCCCCCCCCACCCCTGCACCCGGCTTCGGAGTCAGGTCAGGGTTTCGTTGGTGGTGAGAGACTGGCTGTTTTGGGGGACTCCCCATCTGGTGTGGCGACGGAGGCATTCGAGCCTGTTCCTTCTGCCGGTGCTTCTGGGTCTGACCAGTGGGCTCCCTCCTTTCCTGCTTTCCCGATTGACTCTGCCTTTTCTATTGAGGCAAAAGGTTTGGAGGGCTCCGTTTGACCTCGCTTGGGTGTTAGTACCCTCTAAGCGGGGCTTGTTGTTACAGGAGGTGGGGTTTTCTTATCCTCCCTCCCTGTCTGAGTTGGATATGGCATCAGCTCCTACCCGGGTTCGGTTCCGGGTTCCCTTGGGTTCTCCGTTCCCTTCTCTCCAGAGGTTTTCGGCCTCCCGCCTCTTGCCTCATGAGGTGCAGGAGGCCCTTGCGGCTTACCTCCTGCGTGACCCGGATTACGCCTCGATAATGGATCCTGTGTCTTTCGAGTTCAGTTCTTCCTTTCCTTACTGGGTTCGTTACGAGGTGCCGGAATCATCCTGGTTGGCAGACTGTCCTCTCTTTTTCGTTGGGGTGTGGCATACGTTCTGTCGGTCCCACACGCTTGAGTGGCGAGAGGCCCTTACAGTTGTTCAGGTTTACCTGGTGGGCGAATTTGAAAACCTCAATGCGTGTTTGCCCCTGCCATTCCTCGAGATGTCGGCCTGGTGCAGCTTCGCGTGCAGGTCCCCTCCCTTTCAGGAATCCTGGTTGCTGAGGACTTGCGTGCCTGTGGCCATCTGGCTTCGGTCCTGCGTTTCTTTTCGCTTCTCAAGCTGTTTGGGACTGACTTGAGAGGGATGTGCAGGTGCTGGTGGGCCCACAGTACGGTGCAGGAATTCGCAGCAGTGTGGATGTCATTTTGGAGGATTCGGGTCACTTGCGGATTGATGATTTGGCTCCATTCGAACTGCTCCCCAGTGGTTCATTGCCTGAACTGCTGAGGTTCGATACGGTCTTTGGCTCTTTGGGGCTGGTCGCTTCAGGTGACTCGTCTGTTGAGTTCTCAGGGTTTGACTCTCCTGGCCGTTCATGTTCGGGGAAGTGTCCAACGTCCTAGCGGACAGCCTGTCCCTGTTCGTTCCCCTGCCTATGGAATGGACGGACGACACCGACTCGGTCAGTTGGCTCTGCAGGATGACACCGACTCGTTTATTTGGCTCTGCCAAACGTACGGGCTCCCGGAGGTGGACCTCTTTGCGTCAGCGTGGTTGAGACGTCTCCCGATATATGTGGCGCCCTTCCCTGACTGCGATGGCCGTCAGGGTCGATGCCTTCAGGCAGGACTGGTCGAGGTGGGGGTTACCTGTATAAATCCACAAGGGCCGTGACGAGGATTCGAACCTGCGTCCGGGAGCTTCCCAGACACTGCCTTAATCGACTGAGCTACGACAGGGTTAAAAGAGTTGAAACCGAAGTTCTACTGAACTTACTGGATCCCGTAGCCTCTCCGAGGCACAAACCAGGATTTTACACAACTTCCCTCCCTGCACCCGAGCTATGTCAATAGGCCGTTCTCCCTCTTCGCCCTTACATCATTACACACAGAGATCACACTAACATGATGCATCAAATGAACAAATCCACAAGGGACGTGACGAGGATTCGAACCTGCGTTCGGGAGCATCCCATGCATGCGTCGTAGCTCAGTCGATTAAGGCAGTGTCTGGGATGCTCCCGGACGCAGGTTTGAATCCTCGTCACGGCCCTTGTGGATTTGTTCATTTGATGCATCACGTTAGTGTGATCTCTGTGGTTACCTGTACCTCTTTCCCCAGGTTCCACAGTTGCTCCAGGTGCTGGCTCGCTTGGAGATTTGGCAAGGAAGAGTAGTCCTGTTGGCCCTTTGGTGGCTGGTCCAGCCTTGGTTTCAGGCGTTGCTTGCTCGATGTCCAAACCCGAGGGTCTTCCCGCAGCTCCATCTCTTTCAGCAAATCAGGCCAGTCCGTTACGTAACTGGTTCGATGTTCTCCTCAAGTCTTCGTGTCTGGTTTTTCTGACGCGGGTCTATCACCATTTGTATGGTGAACAGGTGGCTTCGTTGATGGTGTCCCTTCGTTGATGGTGGAGTGAACAATATGGAAGAAAATGTAGAATAGAACTAGTGAAGAGCTGGGGTGCCATAGGCACAATCAAGGAACACTGTATAAACATCAGAGGTCCACGGTTGTTCAACATCATCCCAGCGACTATAAGAAATATTACTGGAACATCCGTGGACATCTTCAAGAGAAAACTAGGTAGTTTTCTCCAGGGAGTGCCGGATCAACCAGGCTGCGGTGGGTATGTGGGCCTGCAGGCTGCTCAAGCCACAGCCTGGTGGACCAAACTCTCACAAGTCAAGTCTGGTCTTGGGCCGGGCTTGGGGAGTAGAAGAACTCCCAGAATCCTATCAGACAGGTATCAAGCAGGTCCCACCTTCATGCTTCGTCTCAGTGGCAGAATGAAGTTTCCTGGGGGTCCCTTCGTTATTTATGGTCCCTCCGTAGGTTTTCTTCAGTTTTGGATCAGGTTGTGTTGTCCTTCCTTTCTTGGTTGTTTTAGGACTGTCATCTTATGCCGAATACTGTCGCCTCATATCGTGTTTTGCTGGAGGAGCCACTTCAGCTTGCATTTGGGGTGGATGTTACTTCTGCTCTGTTCTGCAAGCTGTCTCGTGCGTTGTTTCACCTCCGGCCTGCTCATGTGCCGCCTGAGCCATCCTGGTCGTTGGACTGGGTGCTCTCTTTTTCCCCTGTTTGTGGTGGCCCCTTCTGTTTAAGATTATTTTTCGAAGGTTCTCTTTCCTGTTAGCATTGGCTTCTGGGGGTTGGGGAGCTTCATGCTCTCCTTCGGTGCAGAGGTTTTTGTTCTTTTGGTCCTGGTGGTAGGTTTGTTCATTTGCAGCTGTCTCCTCCTTTCCCGGCGAAGAATGAGACTGCTGCTTTCTGAAGGGGCCCTTGGGTTACTGATTCTTGGTTTGTTCCGCCGGGGATGCATCATGTGTTGTGTCCGGTTGTGGCTCTTCACCATTACCTGCACGCCACGGCCTCAGTGGCCGGGGACACACTTTGGGTTGACCCAGTTTCCCTTCTTCCCTGTTCCAGGGCTCAGGTTGGGTTAATGTGTATCTATGAGAGTCAGTTGTTTTAAATAAAAAATTCTTTCTTTTATTTTCAGAGAAGGACTTTAAAAAAGAAAAACAAAACGAGTTAAAGGAAAAACATGATCTGAAGAGAGAAAAGCAAGATGTATTTGATGAGACTGCTTTAGATTATGAGGCCATGGATAATGAGGAGGAAGATGAGGAGGAAGCGGATGCTATTGATAAAAAAAATGTAAATGGAAGAATAAATGAAGATGAACACACTGGTCGTAACCCTTCCCCCAAATTGGAAGAAAATGGTCAGTTATTGGAAGAGGTGGTGTCAGAAGAGAAGGACAGAAAAGAAAAAGGACAGGATCAGAAGAAAGGAAATAGAGAACAAAGTGGAATCAGTCAGTCTCATGAGCATAAAGACAGAGAGTACTCAAAATCCCATGAAAAACATAAGGATATGTCAAGAAATAGAAGTGGTAGATCTCGAGATAGAGAGGGTAGATCCAGAGATAAACATAATAAGTCCCGAGACAGGAGAAACAGATCTAAAAATAGAAAAGATCGCTCAAGAGATAGAAATAGTCGAAGAAAAAGATCTCGAGACAGGAGGGACAGGTCGCGGGATCGAAAGTCTCGTAGTAGGGACAAGGCTCGAGAGAGGAAGCATCATTCAGAAACGACCAGTAGTAACAGTGATTAAGTAAATGTTAGTTTGTGTATTTTGTAGATTTAGACAATTATTACTCGACCCTTAACAGTTCATAATATTTTTTTTTACAAAGCTTTTGATGTAATTGCTTTGGCAGGAAGAAAATTTTGCTTAATTTTTATTTTACAATGCTATCTTTTAATCTAATTTTAAAGTTACTGTACTGTAATGTACTTTAATATCTGAAAACATCATTCATGGAATGTTTCTTGTTCACTTTTTCCTTTGTTAATTAACCCTTTGGCTGGGACATTATTTTTCAGCATTTTTCTCCAATAGGGTCAAAAAAGCTGCCAAAGAAATAATTGTTTGTATTTTTTTTAATTCCCTCCTGCATTTTCTGGAGAGAGCTTCCTGGTGGCTTCCTGAAGCCTTCTTGCTGAGATTGCTCCATACTAAAGGGTTCAGCAGTCATAGAAGTTCTGTTCGGCCTACCTGGGACCAGAGCAAGAACCTGGTCCCCTCACAGAGGCACAGGGAGCAGCTGACAATCCACCACCCTCATCTGGATAAAGCCTCCTGAAAGTCAGTGAAGCCTTACAGACAACTACATGCTTCAAAACCCCCCAAAACAAAGCCTCAAAACCCCATACAGCTCTGCAAATGATTCACACAGAACAAGGGATTCACTCAAATTAGCTCAAAACTTGTTAGTACTGATTATTACTTGTCAGGCAGCCCCAGCCCGCAGCCATCACCCCTGCTCAGTTCTGTTGCTGATGACGCAGTATTTACAGCTGCCATAGTGCTTCTAGTCCTTCAGATTGTGGGGCAAGCCCCTCTGCTTCGAGCTAAGTGTCTGACTTCCTTGGACTGTTGTACTGTAGGGGGGTCATTAGCTTTATGTATTGTTTGTTTTAGTATAGGCTTCATGTGCGTATTTTAGTTCCGGCTTGTGCGGGCTTGCCATTTATTGAGCTTCAGGATTCATGCACTCATGATTTTTTTTTCCCCATGTTCCCACTAATTCTTCCCTTGCACAGTTTATTCCCTTCTTTGGTGTGTTCGGGAGTTCACTCTTCAGAGGCCTGGCCACTGGTGTGGATAGCCTCATCTTTGGCTATTCAAAGATCTTTGATTCCTCTGTTTAGGCCCTTGGCTGGGGGTGTTCATTGAATGTGCTGGGATAATTATCAAATTGTAGTTACAGGATGAGAGCTATTCTTGTGTCCCATCTTCTCAGTACTCTTTATATAATTTTTTGAAACTACTGATGGTTTTGGAATCCACCACTTTCTCATTGAACCTGTTCCAGCCATCTACCACTGTGTTTGCAAAAAAGAGAACTTTCTAATGTTTTTTGGCATCTTTCCACCTTAGCTTGAATCTTTGTCATCTTATTTTGAAAGTTGCAGTTTTCAAGAACTCTTGCTTATCAATTTTTTATTGTTACTATTTTGTATGTAGTGATCATATCTTCCTCTTATTCTTCTCTCTTCCAATTTTGGCAAATTTAACACCTTCAGCTTCTCTTTGTAGCTTCTTCAGTTCCAGAAGCCATTTAGTAGCATGTCTTTGTACCTTTTACAAATTCCAATTTGTTCTCGTGAGAGCTTTAACCCCTTAACTGCTCGGCTTCCAAATATGACACCCCCCCCCCAGTGGGCAAGAAATAAATTCTCTTGAAAAAATTCTTTTGTTTTTTAAAGTCAAAAACCCTTCCCTCAGTATGGGTATGTAAAAAAAAATCGAAATTGTACTTACTTTGGCTGCTATGGGGTCCGTAAGTTAGCTCGTGACGTTATCATTCCCCATTCACCCATGATGTAAGCTCCCGGGGCCAGTAGGGCGCACGGGGTGGGGCGAGCGAGTTGCCGCGAATATATTTTTGTTCATTTTTTGCGCACAGTTCCAAATACATTTTATTTGTTTTTATGTCCTAATTCTATGTATAATGAACACGTACACTGTATTATGGCAGTAAAACATCCGTACTGTCCGAAGACACTGTGTTACGTGCATGACACTTGTGTACACATGTTGCACATATTTACCATGTATCATGCTAATTTATGTATATATACAATCTATTTACACACTGTACACTGTCACACACTATATACATTCACCATCAACAGCAGCCACACCCAGCCAGCCCTTCCTCACTCCTCCAACATTGTATTCGCCAACATTGCTCCTCCCATCATACAGTTATTCACACCAATGTTTCATGTTCATTTATGTATATTTACAACATATGTACAGGCACTGTCACACACTATCTACATTCACCATCAACACATTCAGAACATGTGCAGCCACACCTAGTCAGCCCTCCCTCACTCCAACATCTTACTTGCCAACATTGCTGCTCCCACCATACTGTTATTGTTTTTATTACACTATTTACACATGTTATATATACCTATCTACATGTTTTATTTACCAGAACTATGCAAGTAAGCCAGTATTGTGTCCAAACAGTACAGTGGCCACCATATACTGCATAAGAAATCACACAGCAGCCAGCAGACGACGCTATGAATACGACGCCACCTCCCTCACCAAAATAGCTCCTCTCAACATACTCCTGTTGTTATTATTACACTATATACACACACACTGTATATACCCATGTACATATGTGTACATAGCGAACCACTAAGCTAGTATGGTGAGCAAAACAAGAGTGGTTGCCACACATAGTGAGGCTACCTCAATTCTCTCCCTTCCTCCCTCCCTCACCAAAATTCCTCCTTCCACAATACTACGCACAACGCTAATTATAACCACAATCCTGCTATTATTACAATCCTGGTCACTAATTCCTGTAAATGAATAACCGACCACAAGTTTATTTTGAAATGGAACCTAAGAAGTCGTTTGAAGATTCCTAGATGGACGAAATAATGCTGTGGTGCTGTGGTTAGCACTGTGAACATCGTGAACAACATTGAATCACTGATATTTGGACATTGTATCCAGTCATTATCACACTCAGGCTCTTCTATATTACTATCATGGCTAAATAATACAAGTTATATATATATTTTGACATTATTAGGTGATGCTGTGGTCACACGCTGAACAGCAGTGCTGTGCACTCGTGCTGCGAGCGCCAGCCTTGGTTGCTCACTCACGACTGAGGCTCTCACACCCCGGAATGTGGACCACGATTTTTTTTAAAGATGGCGTCTGTTTACAAGATCCCTGAGGAAGCTGATGTGAACCCCATGTTGCCGTAGGAGTTTTGAATGGAACGTGAAAAATACAAATACCCGGAGACACGTAGCGCACCCCAGACGTGGGCCTGCAGGCATGTTGCGCAGTTAAAGGGTTAATATTTCACTGTCCGTGTATTTAGAAGTGATTCTGAAGTTAGAAATCATGACATAGGCACTTCACACAAAATTCTTTGTGGTCCTATAGTGATAGTTTACTATCCAGAACCCTTGGCCTTCCTGCTATCTCTGAAGGGTAGCCTATTCCCTTGGCCTTCCTGCTATCTCTGAAGGGTAGCCTATTCCCTTGGCCTTCCTGCTATCTCTGAAGGGTAGCCCATTCCTTTGGCCTTCCTGCTATCTCTGAAGGGTAGCCCATTCCCTTGGCCTTCCTGCTATCTCTGTAACCGGCGGTGGGAAACGGTTCTGGCTAGGTTACATATTGGCTATACACGTTTGACTCAATGGCACTTAATTGAGCGCTGCCCTGTTCCTTATTGTCCAAACTACATTGTCCCTCTTACAGTCATGCATATCCTTGTTGAATGTCCTGACTTTCAGGACATGCGTGTATCTTGCTTCCCGCTTGTCCCTCAATAGAATCCTTGGTAAATCTGATACCTTTGATATTGCCTGCCCTATGCACTTTTATTTTTATATTGGCATGCAGACAATAAGTCACAAAAATGTGGCTGAACATATGATGACCAAATCACACATCAGAAGATGGAGAAGTGACATTGTTTCGGTCTATCCTATACCATTATCAAGTCGTGCCTGAGCCACTTGATAATGGTCCAGGACAGACCGGAATGTCATTGTTTCTCCATCATATGATGGGTTTGGTCATCATATTGGCATCCATAGTGATATTTAGCACCTTTCAATTATCCTGCAACTTTGATGGTGCTACATAATTTCCCCAGCTTGGTGCCTTCTTTGATGATGACTTACTTTACTTGTTTTGCCACCAACTACTGGTAGTATTTACTGGCAAACCAAGGGATTGTTTTGAAGGTCAGTGTTCATGGTTGAACATTATATGATCATAAAAATTTCTCTTGGGGCTCTGACTTTGGTCATTTGTACATTCTACAGCATATTTTTGGCCGTTGACAGCTGTCACTAAACATGGCCAAATAGTTTAAAGAAAATTTATGTTCCAGGAAGTGATATAAAATTTGGATGGTTAAGAGCTGATTTTGATTTGTATCATTATTTTACAGCCTAATAGAGAAAACTGAAGCATTACATGTGGGTTGCAGTAATCAGTTTGAAGTTGTGTGAATTGTGTAGTTATTTATCATGTATGCATTCTTAAAATTTGTAATTGCTTATAATATTAATCTGATTTGTTTTTAGAAATGGCTCTGTTATGTTTTCTTATATGTATGGCAGTACATCATGTACAATTAAAGTTAATAGATAATTGTATGCTTTTATTGGCCAATGAATAAATATTTCAGAGATATTGAAAAACACCAAACAGGAATGTCCAAAAGCAGTCTCTTATTAGGGTGTTATTGCATTGAACATACTGGCCAGCCAGACAGCCAGCCAGCAGGCCAGTCGTCTGGCCGGCCAGCCCAGATGGCCAACCAGATTGCCTGCTAGCCCAGTCCAACTAGATGGCTGGCCGGGCAACCAGCCAGCCAGATGGCCAGCCGGCCGGCCAGCTAGCAAGATGGTCAGTCGGCCGGCCAGCTAGCCAGATGGTTAACCGACCGTCCGACCGATTTGGTAGTTGAATAGCATTTAATGTAATGAGGAAATTGTAAAAATAAACTATAAATAAATGTGTTTACTATGATTAGAGATAATCAATGATGATCAAGATCGATGCACTACCGTGGGTCCCGGTAGTAGACAGGTTCGTTCTCGATGCACAATCGAGAATTCCAGATTCAAATTCAGGGCGGGACAGAAATGGTTTGGCATATTTCCTTTCACCTAAGGCCTTTGTTCACCTAGCAGCAAGTAGGTACTCGAGTCATAATTTTTAACTGAAAATATGTGGAGTGAGCCAGAATTTGGTTCCAAAATAATGTTCATGAGTCATATTTGCCATATTTTAAAAACTGTAGAGGGTTTTGGGCAAAATGTGACCCATCGCTGTTTTCAGTACTATGCATACAGGTATTTTCAACATAAAAGTCATAATATCAAACTGCAAATATGTAGAGTGAGCCAGAATTCGACTCCAAAATAACACTCATGGGTCGGATTCTGATATTTCAAATATTTTGAACTTGCAGGGGGGATTTGAGCAAATTATGACCCATCGCTGTTTTCAGTAATTGGCATATTTTCGGTATAAAAGTTTATAATTACAACATGGAACAGTGCAAAACACTTGCACTGTTACAATTCGGCTCCAAAATAACGCTCATGAGCCAGATTCCAATG